GCCGCCTCCGTTTTCGGAGCCGCCTCCGTTTTCGGAGCCGCCTCCGTTTTCGAAGACGCCTTCTCCTGCTTCAGTGTCTCCACACGGCCGGAACCCCCCGGATCCGGAGCTCCAAGACCCGGAGCTATAAGATCAGACCGGGCGGGTGCAGCCACGAGCCGACCGTCTGGCACCCGGGCTAACCCACGCTGCCCCGCCACATAAATCGATGGCGGCGGCAACGAAGCCGGAAGAGTCGCCGGTGGCGGCTGTGGCAACCATGAAGGCGCCGGCGTCCACCCTGCGGGAATCACTGGCCCCGGCATCAACGGGACATTGGCTAATGTCGCCGGCCGCGACTCACGACCTACTTGCTGACCGGATATGGCACGGACACCACCGGGGGCTTGCTGGTTGGTAAGGACATGCTGGTTCGTCAGGGCTTGTGGACTGGGAACTTGAGAGCCGAAAAGGGCCCCGCTAAGAGCTGGCTCAGTGGAAGCTGACTGACTGGGGACTGACTTAGAGAGAAATGGCTGGCTGGATACTGATTTGTTCGGCGCTGGCCGGCCGGTATCCTTTGGTTCGGTACCCCGCGGTGGCGAGTCGATGTCCATCGCGACGGGGCTTTCGGGTTCCGCATGCATCATAACTTCGGCGCTGTTCCTTGGGGGATCTGGCGGCGGAGTTTGCGGCACTGCGGTTTGAGTGATTTGCGGGGTCAGAGTCTCCGACCGTGGCGATTCTGGCTGGTCCGCTACGACGAGGTAGGGAGGTGTCCTGCGTGCCACCTTGAGAGAGCCACCGACAGTGGTTGGTTTACGGGCCGGAGTATTCTTCTGACTCGCGGGAGTATTCTTCTGACTCGCTGTGACGCTGGCTTGGGTCGCGGCCGTGGGTTGGTTCTTGAGGGCCCGTTGGCTTTGAGTCATGACGCGTGAGGGATAGGTGGTGGGCCGCCGGAGATGTTCGGTCCAGATGGCGGCAGTGCCGCTGAGTTCTTCCCACAGCGCGACGGTGCGCTGTAGATCGCGGAACTTGTTTACGAGGAGTGCTGGAGGGAGATCGGCCAGGTCGCACCAGGCGGCATGTCCGATGCCTACATGTGCCCATTTGACGAAGACCTTGGGCTTGTCGGCTTCGGCGTAGGCCAGGAACGCCTCTACGGCCACCTGCGGTTCTGGGACGTAGGGACCAATCGGCAGTCCTTGGCATGCGCGCCTTAGGTTCATGTTCCCCGGGTCGTTTATTCGCCATTCCACGGGCTCCTCGCCCACAATGGCACTCGCGTCCTTACCAGCACACAACTTGACCAACGCCTCCGGTGCAAAAGATGCCGTCGGCTCCCACAACAAACGCTCCTGCGGGCCGAATGGCACACGCCAACGCACCAACACCTCACTGTGCCCCTTGGTCCCCACACGCCGGCGCGCCAGCAGCTCCAGCGCCTCCACGCTCATTAAAAAATTAACTCCTCCCGGAACTCCAACTCCTTTCTCACCAGCCCCACTACGTCCATGGGGGCATACCTCTACGTCCATGGGGGCATACCTCTACGTCCATGGGGGCATACCTCTACGTCCATGGGGGCATCCCTCCCCCGGGATTTAAGGACCTTGACGAAGGCCGAATTATATAGTTTGCGTTTCGCGCGCCCACCGCGCGGTCGACTACCGCACGGGAACGTTGTCTCCGTTAGACCCGGTAGCAGCCCGAACACCGGGACCGAGACTCATAGCCGTCTCCGTCCCGGTGTTCGGGTCGACCAAGGCGAGTTTTTGTTCGGGAAGTTGGGCGGCGGTGGTTTGGTGGAAGAGGTCGAGTTCGCACTGGTAGAGGACGTCGAGGTTGTGGAGCAGGGCATCGACGCGTTCACCATATCCCGCGGTGAGCAGCGCCACGTTGTTCGCCAACTTGCGGTTTGCCTTCGCGTTTTGTGCAGAGGTCTTGGTCGCAGCCGCGATCTCTTCGTCGATCCGGCCAGTCGCAAGTCGGTCGTCTACCGCCACGAACCGGCAACGGTCGCCGTCCCAGACTGCCACGCGCATCTCCCCCACCCCCGGGCTCCCCACTGCTTCCTGCTCCAATGAGTGCACGGGAATGTGCGCGCGATACCGGTCGAACATAGTCTCCTCGATGACCATGGCTTCAGCACTGTTGTCCTCTGTTTCTCGCTCATCTATTTCTCGCTCATCTATTTCTCGCTCATCTCCTTCCCATTGTTGACGCTCTTGTGTGGCTAGCTGGTTGATGAGGTCGGCAGCGCGTTCGAGCCATTTAAGAGCCGTCTGGTTACGTTGTTGTGCGGCGAGGAGGAAGCTATTACGCAAGTTCGTTATCGACTCGAGGGCGTCCGGCGACTGGAAGAACTTGTAGTACTCCTTGGCGGGGAGGAAGCGTTCATCGTCGCAAAGCAATTCGGCGACCTGCAAGTCAATCAGGTTTTCGGCCTTGACCTTGGCCGCCGTCTCGGCCTTGACCTTGGTCGCCGTTTCGGCCTTGACCTTGGTCGCCGTTTCGGAACCGCGGCGCAGAAGGGTGACGAGAAGGACGGGGTCCTGGGGCAGTTGTTCGGGGCGTGGGTAATGTCCGAGGAAGAGTTCGACTCGCCGGTTTACGGCCGCGAGTCGGTCGAGTTGACGCGCGCGTGTGCGCTGTCGTATGCGAGCCATATCGCGCGCGTCCTCGGGCCTGTCGGCTTCTGTCTCGGACGTTGAGTCGAGATGTAAATCAATCTCCACGCCATATCGTAGCCCTACTGTAAGCGGCATCTCGCCCAATAGTTCGGCAGCAGAGAACTTTCGTGATGCAAACTCGTCCTCCGCTACCGGCAAAATCCCCCGACTGGAACTTTTGGGAGCCCCCGTCCCGGTGGTGTTACGCCCGGGCAGTGTCCCCGTACCGAGGTGTGTGCCAGCATGTGTGTCGAGGCGTGTGCCGGCAGTAAGTTTCTGTGTGCCGACGACGGGCGCAAGTACGTCGCTCAACAGGTCTGGAGCAGGTCGGACGGCGGCTTTGGCGAGGTCGACCAGATCTTGGTCGGCGGCTAAGGGCCTGGGTAAGGTTAAAGTACTGCGTTGGCGGACACTGAAGACGTCTACCTCATTTTGGGTATTCACAGGTTTGCGTTTTCGATCTTCTATTTGTAGTCGTTGATTGCGTACCTTAGCCTTGGCAGCCTCGAGGGATTGGAGTTTTAGTGCGGCTGCTTTGCGGCTGGCAGGCAATTCTTGTTCATAGCTGGTGTCATACAGACCGAGTCGGGGTGCGGTTTCGAATGGGATTTCGGTAGCGTAATCCATGCGCTCCGCCTTGTTCCGTCGAGGTTTAAGCATGATACCAGCCTCCTCAAGCTCCTTACGTCTCTGCACCATGACGGAACGTTTGCGACTCTCCAATTGTTTCTCACGCGCCTTCCGCTTCGCCTTTTTACCTTTGGTGTTTGCAAGTCGTGCGCGCGCCTCAGCCAGCATTTCTTTCTCATCGTCGTCCAGATCCACGGCATCGGCCTTGGCCGGCCGGGTCTCCGGGTTCGGATCTATCTCACCCGGACGCAGTCTCCGTGGGTCGTCCGGGTCTTCCACATCCTGCCCGTCTTCCCGACCCGCCGCGCGGTCTAACAATTCGCCGTAACGGGTGAGACATTGATACGCCGTACGACCCACCAAAGGCCCCACCGTCTTCCACTGTGTTGGAAACAACTTAACTGCGTGCAACAAACGCTCATCCTCAGCCTGAGACCATGCCGTCTTCTTCACATGGGGATCCAACCATTCATACCATCGAGCACGACATTGCCGAGCTGTCTTCCGATTCAATAACGACGCCACACGACTCCAGTTGTTCATACCATACTTCATCACCGCAGCCTTCAGTACCTCATCCTCGCTATTCTTCCACTGACCCCCCTTCTGCACTGACCGCATTTTTTTAATGAATTCGACCCAGACCAAGGCCGACGACTCAACCGAGACCTACCCCCAGTCCACAGATCTGGCCCGGTACGATCTAGTGGTCATTGGTGCCGGCAGTGGCGGCGTCGCCTGCGCCAAACGCGCCAGCAGCCACGGCGCCCGCGTCGCCGTCGTGGAGGCTGGTGCCTTCGGCGGCACATGCGTGAACGTGGGCTGCGTGCCGAAGAAGATCATGTGGTGGGCCAGCCAGGCGCGCGAGTTCCTGCAGGAGGCGCACCATTACGGTCTCACGCCGTCTGCGCAGGACACGTGTGCAAACACGTGTGCAAACACGTGTGCAGACAAGTGCGCAGACACGTGTGCAGACACGTGTGTAGACAAGTGCGCGCCCGCCGGTGGACTGGCGGCGCCGGCGGTAGACTGGGCGTACCTGAAATCGCGTAGGGACGCGAGCGTGCAGCGTCTGAACGGCATCTACGAGCAACAACTGCGCGCACACGGCATCGACATCTACCGCGGCACGGCCAGCATCGAGACCGCCGGAGACGCCCCGTTGGTGGGGGATGCAGAGGCCCCAGCGTCGGCGCTTAAATCGTCGGCGCTTAAATCGTCGGCGCGTTGGGTGGTGCGGGTGAAGGGAAAGGCGACGACGGGTGGAGTGCCGGAAGTGCGCTTGTGTGCGGAACGTGTGGTTGTGGCCGTGGGGAGTCGGAGCAAGAAATTGGGTGTGCCCGGAGAGGCAACGGTGGCGGTGGGTAGTGACGGTTTCTTCGCGTTGGAGCGGCGACCTGAGAAGGTAGCGGTGGTAGGAGCGGGTTATATTGCAGTGGAATTTGCGGGTGTTTTGACTGGATTGGGATGCGAGACACATTTGTTTCTGCGGCATGAGAAAGTGTTGCGCAGTTTTGATGAGATGCTATCGACGAAGTGCACCGAGTTCCTTGAACGCCAGGGCTGTCATTTGCACCGAGGTGCCCAAGTAGAGGAGTTTATTGTTGATGCAAATGGCAAACAGATCCGACTTAAGGATGGCCGAACTTTCGACCACTTCGATAGTATCATTGTAGCCATCGGTCGCGAACCCAACACCGATGCGCTTGGCCTCGATGCACTGAATGTACGCTGCGATTCCGCCGGACACATCCAAGTAGATGATTTCCAAAACGTCTGCTTTGGACAAGACAACCACGCTAAAGACAACCACGCTAAAGACGACCACGCTAAAGACGACCACGCGACAAATGTCTCGGACGTGGGCCCGGCCGTGGGAGCGGATACAGGGCTGTACGCATTGGGTGACGTTATTGGACGAGTGGAGTTGACGCCTATGGCAATTGCAGCGGGACGACGGTTGGCGGATCGTTTGTATTTGGAGGGGTTTGAGGCGGCCAAGGTGGCGTACGAAGACGTGCCGACAGTAGTGTTCAGTCACCCACCTATCGGCACAGTGGGACTGAGTGAAGCCCAGGCGCGTGAACGGTTCGGTAATGACGATGTACTGGTATACACAAACACCGCAGTGAACTTATACTACAATGTCTTCGACGTGATACCAACAGAGAAACCCAAAACCTACATCAAACTTGTCTGCGTTAAACACCTTCATGAACAAGTTGTTGGCATACACGTCATTGGCATGGGAGCCGATGAGATCATCCAGGGCTTCGGACTCGCCCTCAAGTTGCACGCAACCAAAAATGACCTTGACAACGTCGTCGCCGTGCACCCATCTGCAGCCGAGGAAATCGTCACTTGCGCTCCCTGGGGCCTCCCACACCCAGACAATGACCTCCGCCGTATTCAAAGCAAATTCCACGACGAAGAAATCGCCAACAAGGACAGCAGCACCACCACTACCTGGCCATAGCACACACGTGTGTGCTGTAATTTAATCGTTTGCTGGCTTTTGGTAGGTAAGAAAAACATTTTTCTCCGACTCAAACAACTAACTGCCAGCGAGCGACAAGTCTTCATCCTGGCCTACCGCCTTCCGACAAGTTTCGTAACCAAGCCAGTTGGATGAAACATGTCTGACAAAAAGTAGACCGACCGCCCATCATTGTTGTCGATTCAAAAGTTTCGATCGGGGCTATAGCCCCGCTGCAAGCTGCTCGAGCGGGAGGTCGTTCCCGTTAGCCATCAAATGGTCCATGGGAATCGACAACAGTGGTCCATATTCCTTCCACACTGCCTCGGCGAATGTATCCATGAACCGGTCATCCTCTACAGATCCTAAGTCATGATTTACGAGCCATTCCAGCTGTTGAATGGTTGGGGCCTTGCTTGACTGCCCATCATGACTGTCACAACGTACCATGCAGTCGGAATGTGAGACGCTGTGAGTTGCTGGCACGGCGATTACGGGTACATCGACCGTCGGTACGTCCAGCGCCGGTTCCTCGACCGCCGCTGTATCGGCCGCCGAGTGCCCGTCCAAGGTCGACCCGGACCCGCCTTCAATCCCCCTTTTTTTCGCCAGGTCAGGATATTCGAGCGGAATTCGTCTCTTTCTCGACAACGCCTTCTGACTGATCATTCCCCTGCTACGTGTTGTTGTGTACGTACCAGGAGGCATCAAATCCAGCGCGTCCTTCAGCGTTCCCGACGGTGTCGTGGCAAGGCGATCAACATGGCGGCCTGGATCTACAGCAGAACGACGTCCGGGCAAAGCCTTCTCCCTGGCTCTCTGGAGGAATATTACTCGACACTCTTCTGATCCCGCCCCACCTGTCGACTCCGCCTCAGCCGGTTCACATTCCGCCAAAGCTTTATCCCAATCTTCTCGAACCAATTGCTCTTGGGTGAGCGCTCCGACAGTCGCCTCTTTAGCTGTTTGCCGCATGTCGTCGTAAAGTTGCTTGTCAGTTAGTTGTGCGTATTTTTCCGCCGATACGACCGGCAGTCCTGCGAGAGTGATCTGCAAGATGTTTAAGCGTTCCGGGGCACCTCTTATGGCGGTAGAGACCCGTAACCGCCGTGTGAGACATTGAAGAAACGGATGCTTCTTAAATGAACAGGGATTATAGCCTAAGTCGTTGGCGCAAAATTCCGTAAGCCGTGTGGTGTCTGCGTCCGCATGCTGTAGAAGACAGCCCGTGACCCAGTCATTGTGGCGTCCTCGGAGTTCTCCCCGGGACATGTCCTTCTTGTCCTTGGGAAACATCATGTCCATCACCGTCTGATGAATCGTCTCATCGAGAACACCATAGGGGTATCGGTAATACCTGGAAATGATAGCACCGAGCTCTACATAAACCAGTCCACATTTCGCGAAGCTTTCGGGCCCTATAGTCCTCAGCCTCATCCAAGCCTTGGGGGTGAGCGTTCTATGTAACATCTGATGTGACTCGAAGCCACCCCGGGCCACTGTCGGAATGAAAGCCGGGCGTATCGGACCTGCCGAAGCTAGACCCCACGACTTCGCATCAAATCCTATCGTGTCATGAACATCCTTAGCTCGTTCCCATTTCGCCCTCCACTTGGAACGGCGAAAGAGCGGACGGGTGACTAAAATCGCGGGCGCCAATCGGCCGTATCCCTCCTCATCCAATGGCACCCAAAAGCGCGTTGCCCAATACAATTCAGGGTCTGTTCCTCCCGCACTCGACCAATCCCAAACGTCTGCACTGACACCAGCCACGCAGGGGACGGTAGGACTCTGGGGGACGCCCGGAACCTGGGGGACGCCCGGACTCTGGGGGACGCCCGGACCCTGGGGGACGCCAGCGTCGCTTTTTGACGCCGAGAGTCTCCAGGCAAAAGGCCCCGAATCATCCTGACCTGCAGCAACCGTCGCTGAATGCCCAAAGACTTGCCCCAGACCCAAGGAGAAACAAGTCCAGACCCGTCTACCTCGAACCTCATCAGACAAAGCCAGCATTCAAAAAAGGCCGACGAAAACTCGACTGAAATTTTTAACCTGACCTTTCAACGCCACTTGGCGCAGAGGCTACTACTGAGCGCAGAGGTAATGATCCAGCTCAGCCATCAAATGGTCCATGGGAGGCACCAACAGTGGTCCATATTCCTTCCACACTGCCTCGGCGAATGTATCCATGAACCGGTCATCCACTACAGTTCCTTGATCCTGATTTACGAGTCGTTCTAGCTGTTGAATGGTTGGAGCCTTGCTTGGCTGCCCAGCGGTTTTGTCACAACGCACCACGCAGGCGGAATGTGAGACGCCGCCAGCCATTAGCAAGTCGCCCCCCTCGACCATGGGTACCTCGACGGTCGGTGCATCGACTACCGACTGCCCCCAAGCCCCAAGCACAGATTGGCCAGCTCCGTCCAAGGACGACCCCGACCCGCCTTCAATCCCTTTTCTTTTCGCCAGGTGAGGAGGATGTTCCTGCTGAATTTGTCTCGACGACACAGTCTCGTTGAATAATTCTGGCCCCATCCCTCCTGTAAAGTCCGTCTCACATTCTGGCCCCGTCCCTCCTGTAAAGTCCGTCTCACATTCCGTCAAAGCTGCGCCCCACTCGTCTTGAATAAGTGGCTCAAGAGTGAGTGCTCCGGCCGTCGCTGTTTGCCGCATGTCATCGTTAAGTTGATCCTGAGTTAGTTGTGCGTATTCTTTCGCCGATACGACCGGCAGTTTTGCGAGAATGGCCTCCAAGATGCTTAAGCGTTCCAGGGTATCTTTTTTGGAGGAGGAAACCCGTACCTGGGGTGCGAGACATTGAAGGAGCGGGTACTTGGTGCACGACCGAGGGTTATACTCCAATTCCTTAACGCAAAATCGTGCGAGCCGTGTGGTGTCTGCGCCCGCATGTTGCAGAAGACATCCCACAATCCAGTGGCGCCTGCGCATCTTGGGTTGTATCATATTCTTCGAGGGCATCATGTCCCTAACAGCTGTATGAACCGACTCATCGAGAACACCATACGGGTACCGGTAATACCTGGAAATGATAGCGCCGAGCTCCACATAAGCCAGTCCACATTCCGCGAAGCTTTGGGGCCCTATGGTTCTCAGCCTCATCCAAGCCTCGGGAGTCAGCGTTCTATGTAACATCTGATGTGACTCGAAGCCGCATTGAACTGTCGGAATGAAGACTGGACGCACCATCCCTGCCGTAGCCAGTCTCCACAGCTTCACATCAAAACCTAACACGCTGTTGGTAACGCTTCGCTTCCGCCACTTCGCTGCCCACTCGCGGCGTCGAAGGGACGTATCGAGTGAAGCGACAAACGCCAATAGCTTGTATCCCTCCTGATCCAATGGCACCCAAAAGCGCGTTGCCCAGTACAGTTCGGGGTCCATTGCTGCTGCACTCGACCAGTTCCAAACGTGTGCGCCAACACCAGGCACGTGGGGAACTTCGGGGACAGTGGGACTTTGGAGAGGAATCTCAAAAACATCAGTCTTGCTTCTTGACGCTGTGGGTGCCCGGGCAAAAGGTCCCGAAGCAACCTGGCCCCAACACAAGGAAAAGCATGTCCAGACCCGTCTGTCTTGAACCCCTCCAGACACTGCCAGCATTCACGGAGAAATGCCGAAATTTAAAGCCGGGTACCCCATCACTGTCGCTTTCACTTCCTTAGCACGGACACCTGCCCCTCAATACCCCGGGGTAGCTCTCTCACATGAATCGGAGCTAGCTCAAGCGCCGTTTCCTCGTCCCTGGACGTCCTGATCACACTCACTATGCAGTCGGAAATCGACATTCTGGTGGATTCTCAACCGACCCGACCCAAGGAGAAAAAACCAACCGACCCCGGCTTCTATCAAGTCTCCGCTCCCTTGATGCAGTCTGTGTATTTCACGACGACAGCATTGGCCCATATTCCTTCCACACTTGTTCCGGGAACACCTTGACCAGCTATCACTGCGTGTTGGCTACGCACCAGGCGGCACCAAAACTGGACAATCCGTGTCCCACGGCCCCGCATCGAGTCCCAACGTGCTGTGATGAACGTTTCGACCCCGCCACTGTCCCCAGGACGCTAATCGATTGTATTCCCCCATGTCCAAAGGGCATCCAAAAGCGCGTTGATCAACACAGTTCGGTCCTGCTCCTGCCGCACTCGACCACTCCCAAACGCGTGCGTCGATGCCAAACTCGCGTGGGGGACGCCAACCTCGCGTGGGGGACGCCAAACTCGCTTCTTGACGCTGCGGGTTCCCAGGCAAAAGGCCCCGAATCAAACTGACCTGCAGTTCGACCCGCAGCAACCGTGATTGACTTAAGGGTAGGTCTCTCTCAAACGAATTGAGATCACTCACAGAGGCCGTTTCCTATCCGTCTTGAACACAATGATCTTCCTCGGCTACTAGAATCTTGGCTGTCGGTTCACTGTGGCGGTAAACCCTAGGCCCAGGGTGACTTGCAAGCCGGCTCGTACGGGAGGTCGTTCACATCAGCCATCAAATGGTCCATGGGAGGCGACAACAGTGGTCCATATTCCTTCCACACCGCCTCGGCGAAGGCATTCACGAACGCGTCATCCACTACAGATCCTTGGTCGTGATTAACGAGCCGTTCCAGCTGTTGAATAGCTGGAGACGTACTTGGCTGTTGACTCATTTCATAAAAGAATTGCGTAGCGACTCGATCACGGGGCAGAACGCAGCCGGGATGTGAGACGTTGCCAGCTATTGACACGGCGACCACGGGTACGTCAGCCGCCGGTAGAACGGCGGCCGGCTGCGTCCAAGCACCAGACACACACTGGTCAACTTCGCCGAAGATCGACCCGGACCCGCCTTCAGTCCCCTTTTTTTTCGTCAGGTGAGAACATTCCTGCGGAATCTGTCTCTTCCTCGACAACGGGTTCTGGTCAACCACTCCCCTACTACATGTTGGGTACCGATGGCCTTGATGCTGTTCTGACCCCACCCCTGCCGTAAAGTCCACCTCCGCCGGCTCACATTCCGCCGAAGCTTTATCCCAATCTTTTTGAATCAAAGGCTCTAGGGCGGCTGTTTGCCGCATGTCATCGTTAAGTTGATCCTGAGTTAGTTGTGCGTATTCTTTCGCCGATACGACCGGCAGTTTTGCGAGAATGGCCTCCAAGATGCTTAAGCGTTCCGGGGTATCTTTTTCGGTGCAGAAGACCCGTACCTGGGGTGCGAGACATTGAAGGAGCGGGTACTGGGTGCACGACCGAGGGTTATACTCCAATTCCTTAATGCAAAATTGTGCGAGCCGTGTGGTGTCTGCGCCCGCATGTTGCAGAAGACATCCCACAATCCAGTGGCATCTTCGCATTCTGGTTTGCGTCATTTGCATTTGTGATTTCACATCCCTTGGAGACGTATTATACTTCGCATCCTTCACAAACATCATGTCCCTCACCGCTCTATAAACCCGCTCATCGATAATACCATAGGGGTACTCAAAATAACCGGAAATGATAGCGCCGAGTTCCACATAAGCCAGTCCACATTGTACAAAGCTTTGACGTCCTATAGTCTTGAGTCTCATCCAGCTCTCGGGTGTGAGCGTCCTGTGCAATGCCTGGTGAGCCTCGAAGCCTCTCTGGACCAATGTCGGAATAAAAGCGGGTCGCGCCGTCCCAGACAGTCCCCACGAGTTTGGATCAAATCCCAGTACGCTGTCGTTAACGCTTCGGTTCCGCCACTTCGCTGCCCACGCGCGTCGTCGAAGGGACGAATCCAGTGAAGCCACAAACGCCAATAGCCTGTATCCCTCCTCATCCAGTGGCACCCAAAAGCGCGTTGCCCAATACAGTTCGGGGTCCACTGCTGCTGCGCTCGACCAGTCCCAAACGTGTGCGCCAATACCAGGCACTTGGGGAACTCCGGGCACTGTAGGACCTTGGAGAGGAACCTCAAAAACATCAGCCTCGCTTCTTGACGCTGTGGGTGTTTGGGTAAAAGGTTCCGAAGCAACCTGGCCTGAACCTTGACCCGTCATCGGCATCCCCCAACACAAGGAGAAACATGTCCAGACTTGCCTGCCTCGAAATTCTCCACACACGGCCAGCATTCAAAGAAAGGCTCAAAAATTTTAAACCCCATAACGGAAGCACCTCTCAACGCAGCCAGAGTTGAATTTGGGTTTGCGGGCTGAATAGATTACGAGCTCGTAAAAAGTCCCTCAACCCATAAAAAACTAACGGCAGGGTCGGTCGGACCCCAATTCCGTCTCAGGGCCTTGGTTGTTGATCCACTGTTGCCGAAGGTGATTTATCAAATGATTAATTTCAAGAAGCTTTGTGGAGATGAGCCTCAACTGAGTGCCCCCTAAGCAAGCCGGAGGCCCATACACTGCCTCGGTGAATGCATTTAAGAATCGGTTGTTCGCTATAGATGTTTGGTCATGATTAACGAGACGTAAAATGGT